TTATCTACCTTCCAAAGTGGTGGTCTGGGACTGAGAAGGGGACAGCCAATCCAGTTCCACAACGTACTTCCTAATTAGTTCAGCCTGCCATTATTTCAAGGTCATGGTTTTCTTCTATGAAAGAAGTAATTTACAGCAAAGGTTGCCCAGAGATGTTGATCTCAAAAACTGTTGTAAGTGCTATACTAAAGCAGTACTGTCTCTGTGCCAAGGGTCTTAAAGCTTGTACAATGTTTTGTGTCAATAACGCAGTTCCTGGCTAGGAGATTTCCCTAGAATAATACTGTTGTACCTATTTGGAATAGAACGCATTATAAAACTACTTCTGTGTATACTGTACAGTGATTGAAAAATTTTCAGATTTGCCACTGGGTGACGGGGAATACAATTTTTAATTTCTCTCTTCAATTCTTTTGGAAGCTTAGGCAGAAATCTAAAAGATTAAGATAGGAATAATGCTGGTTATGAAAGCACTCTTGTCACTGTTAAACAGAAAGTTTTAAAATTCTGATGATCAAACATAAGGATAGAGAGCTCTTGATAGCCTACCAGCCAGTATTCTATCAGCTTATGGGGGAAAGTTAACAGTTTGGTAAGATGCAGTACTCTGTCACTGCAAGTGCTTTTTAAAGTGGAACTGAAGGAGGACCTTTATAGATGCACCACACAAACTCTCCTGAAGTAACTCTGATAATGCTAGGATTCATTTGGTTTTCACTACCCGGTATGTAATAATTATGGAAGAGAAAGCTGCCCCTTTGAAACAAAAATGAAAATTGAGATTTAGTTTTATTACTCTTCAGTTCTATCCAGCAGTATGTTTTTTTTAAAATCATTCAAGTACTTTTAAAACACTTGTCAAGCCCTGGCAACTACCCTGTGAAGGGGTGAGGCCCTTAAATTGCTCAGTTCCTGCAACCCCCCCAACATGTCCGAAAACTTGACTGGAAGTGTATATAATGCTGACGCTACAATATCTACTGAACCATTGATGGTCTGAGCCAGTCCTTAAATGTCTGTTTTACATAAGCACTCCCCACCTGGCCTTGAAGAGTGCATTCGTTTGAATAACCGTTAACAAGTATGGCAGATCATGGTTATTAATGAGTAATAACTTCCGTGCACTCAGAGGCTACAGCTAGGAACGCCAGCTTATGCTGTGACTTTGATACATGCAAATATTGTACAAGACTGGAAAATATAAATGTACTACCTTTTCCCATCAATCAGGAAAGCTTGGTTTAAGGAAACTCATCTGATAATTGGGTACTATCACTGGGTTTGTACCAGTTTCTGAGCCATCTAACCTTCCAGTTCAGCTGCCAGTTGAACTGTGGCTATCTTAAGTATGCATATAGTAAAACTGCCAGTTTTAAGCTCAGTATCCCCTGGGGGGGGGGGGAGAGAATGGTCAAGTAAAAGTATTCAAAGGACTGAAATGATAATAGCCACAGGCAATGCCACACTGCGAGTTTTGGCTGGCCAACAGTTTGAGAATGTTCTTCCAAACGCATCATATACTAGGACAGTGGGGTCATACCTGATGGTAACATGGCTGCCATGATACTTTCTTAGAAATGCAGATTTAGCATGTTATCTAGTTCTGTAAGACTCTATTAAATTTGTCTGATTGCACGGAGGCGTATGCATGTGCATACCTGATCCTATGTGCAGCAGTGTGCCAATCTTTTTATACTGACAACCTCAGTTGTATATTACTGGTCAGTTGCAATCGCAATCCAAAAATTTACTAACTTCTTAATTGTGACTGTTCCACTTCTTTCCTGTACAAAAAAAAATTAGTCAAAATTGTTCTAAAATTGTAAAGGTAATCAGAAAGACTGGCAGTATTCTCTCTCTCTCTTTGAGTTCATATTAAAGTACTGTGCGGATGGTATTGAAATACCATTCAAGAAATCCAAAGCTTTGCATTAAAAACATCTTCTGTATAAACAATGTCGGAATCTCATACAAAAGAACACCGAGTAAAAACTATAGTAATGCTGAAGTTATTCTACAGCAGGTCAGCCAACTGACACTTCCTAAACTGGCTCTGGATATATAATGTTTGCAGTTACATGTACACAGTGAAGTGTGTGTGTGAGAAAGTAAACAGAATATCTGAAGTGTATGGGGCTGTTCTAGAATAACTGACTCCTAAATGTATAGAACTAGAACAGTGCTCACTTAGAGCACTGTAGTCCGTACAAGCAAGTGTGCAGTATGTGGTGACTGAACATGAGAACTCAACAGGTTGGGTCCAAAGTTTGGTTTCTGCTACTAGAAGACATCCCCCCCCCTCCAATATTGCTTCTGGGGGACAGGGACCCTTTGGAATACCCTAAGGGGTAAATATGGAGCTGCAATAACAGGAGAAAATTCCCTCCCACAGAAACCAGAGTCTTCCCCACTTCAATTCTGCACCATAGGAGATTTATCTTCCCAAAGGCTAAGTTATACAAGTTGTCTAGAATCCTGTTTCTATTCCAAAGCAACCTTCACCTTGTTTTCTGCTTAGGGTTAGTGCTGTCCCGTCCCCTGCTTTGTCATGCTTTCAGTGGAAGGTTCCACTGCTCACTAAAATCAATGGAATTTGCTTCTAATATGTTCAGGTGTAAGAGCCACCCATATTCCCAGTCTTCACTTTCTGCCTTCTAACAAGTGGACAGCTAGAAAAAACACATCATTCTAATGCAGCATTATTCTGATCGAAACCTTCCTTCCCAAAAAAGAAAAAAACCACAACCAGACAGAATGTATGCATCAACCTTTTCTATGAAGCAGGGAAGACAGTTATATTCAAAATGTCCTCTGAATTTTACTAAAAATCACTATATTTCAGGCATATTTTATCTGTAATAAATGTGTCACATGACATCTGAATTCCAGCTTCTTAAGTCTTTTCACTTCATTTTTATACAAATTTTAACGAACACTGGTAAGTATTAAAGGCAGCCCTGCAACTAGCACACACAACACAATAGGTGCATGATGACCGAGCACTGAATGTATGAGTCTTTTTCCCATTCTATTCCTATTATTTTCTCACTGATTCCCAAGCTTGAAATAGAGAAGGAAATACAAACTATGCTATGGAAACTAGCAGCTGCAAAATGTCTACATATAGTGTAGAACTATGGGCTGCTGCACACAAGGTTCTCAAATATCCCTCTCTAAGGAGTCATATTCTGGCACTTTTGGTGATTGAGCCTGCAAACAGTCTTTGTATGAATTAAAATGCTGGAAATAAGACCCTCCAAATCCACTATTGTATACCTGCAATGTTACTACAGAGATGTCATGCTATCTCCAAATGGATCTTATAACCATCTCAAAAGAATCATTTTGAAGTAATGAGAAAAGTCTTATCTACTTTGTGTTGCAAGGAGTGTAAATAAAAAATGGTTTTCTGAAATAGTAAAAAAGCATTAATCATCCCAGGCATGACATTCTACAACTTCTTCATGCTTCTGAAGATGTGTTGTACTTGATGCGACTGCCAAATCAACTTTGAAAGTGACGATTTCTGATTCTCAACGGTGCCTCAGAATGAACTGTATGATTTCATCACCCCAGTTTCTTAGCTAATAAAGTAATCAAGTGTATGAACTATTTTGGAATTAAATATGATCACCCTGTACTTTATTTAAACCAACTGTGTTTAACCAATATCACTTCATCTGCCATATGGTGCATGCAAAGGCACTGATATAAAGTATGTTTGTAATACAATTTTCTTGGCTTCAGAACTCTGAAAAAACCTTAAAGCAGATTCGTTAAACTGATTCTACAAAACCTATCCCAAAAGCCTGGACTATGGCTAGTTTAATTTAAAATGTTTTTCTGCAAGGCCCTCTTGGCTTCTTCAGTGTGATCGGAACCACAGCAATTATTGTGAGTATACTACATGATAACACCATCTCCTTGTATATACATCATTAGGGTAATGATGACGATTGCTGCAATTTAAGGACAGTACATCAAACTTTGACAATAGTGTTATTAAATCAGCCCCTTAAAGGAACAAATCTAGGATGATATTACCATATCAAGGTTCTCAAGAAATATTAGTATCAAATATTTCTAATATGGTTGGATACCAAATAGTAAGGTGTTGCACATTTAGTTCCAAAAGATTATGCTCTGATATTTTAAACTGTGTGTCCTTAGATACACATAATTAGGTGTGTATGATTTTGCTTTTCCAGTAGACAATCTGCATGAAGGAGAAAGAGAGGGGGTTATGGTAGTCTTTCAACATTTATCCAACCAGTTAGAGATCATTTTAAAACTGTATCACTAACTCTGCTGAAAGGCAGGAATCAAAATACAGTTTGATCATCATACCTAAGTGATCGATAGATCAAATCTGATTACATATTCCCAGCTATAAGGATAGGCGCACAACTGGAAACCAGAGGCAAGATTGAGAGAATCAAGAATTGCTGCATGAGCATAGACAGGTTATAAATACCTGAAGTGCCAATGCGAATGCAAAAAACACCCTTATATTGCAAAGGATTAAGTGTTGTCTTTTATGTATTAATGAAAGATTTCCTGTTTTCCCATCCTGTAATGTTCAAGGCTTTCCTTTTGTATTTTAACAATACTTTGGGTTAACCAAGACATTCTTTTAAACACATCAAGAGATGACAACAGGTCTTGTATTTCAAGCAATGATATGGAGACAGCTAAACTGGGTCTTGAAATATCTTCTAAGCCCATCCACGCAGCAGTGGAGTGGAGCAGCTGGTTGATGGATGCTGATGTGGTGGAAGAATCCCTCTTCCTCTCAGCAACAGTTCCAACTATAAGAAAGCATTCAAGCATACTGATTTGAAAAGGGAATACATTAACTGAATGATGTGCCTGACAAATTCTCACAGATTCTTTGTCTGCATGTCAGATTAGAGTTATGGCCTATAAGGAGGTTACAGAGCATCCCAACGAAGTTTATAAAACCATCACCAACTTACCTTGAACAGCCAGGATACTTTTTAACTTGCATGTGCTAGGTTTCATTTTCCATAGTTAGTGCAGGATTGCTCATACCTTGGAAAAAATAAAACAAAGCTGTTAAAGCATTTTTTAAAATGGAACAGGGAAATCAAATTGTCCTTAGACAAGATCTCTCTTTTGAGGTTATCCTTGGTTCATAAGTAACTTCTGTCCTGGGTCTTGTATATAAGGACAAAAACAACAACAACCACCCCAACTTTCAGCAAGAGAAACAAAGTGGAATAATAATTCAAGAGAAATAAACAAGGACAGAGAAAGACCAAGTAGGTACCAGTTATGACACTTGTGAAAGATAGCAATGATCATTGCTCATGTCTGCTGAAGGAGGTGTGAAGGAGGCACAGAAAGCAGGGTATTCTGCTGCTGGGAAGCCACTGCCCCAAAGACCCTCTTCTCTAATGACCACCAGTTCAACTTCTGAAAAAGGGTGAACTTGGAAAATGCCTTTTGCAAATTGGTTCCTATGGGAGCAGACTTGGCTGTCCTTCAGATAACTTGGTCCCAAAATCACTGTTATCAGGTTTACCCTGTTTTATGTGACTTTTTACCAAACACAATTGGTTACTGAGATGTCATGAAAGAATAAGAAGGGTAAAGAGATCAGAGGATTATTATAAGTGGCTAGCCATCATTTCTCCACTAAGAAATACTGAGCTTACAGGATATTTAAGATTTCAAATCAGTACAGAGTTTGAGATGTGCAAGAATTCACTTTATTTTCACTGTTGATGGAAATTGTTTGATGCCTTAAGCCTATAAAAAAGCCACACTTAAAAATATTTCAGTATGTAAAAACCCCACTTACCAAGTTTGTTCTTTTCAATACTTGCATTCGTTTCTGTCCAAGACTGAGGGTCTGTAAGAAGGTGGCTTTGAGAATCTCGTAACGGCTTTGCAGGAAAATGGTGATTCTCACTATTTGAAAACAATAAATTATGAAAAAGAAGCAGAAGATCTTAATGAACGTCTTGTAAGACTACCAAGGTGAGGTGGCAAGAAATTTAACTTCAAATATAGGTCACTCTTTATCCCATAAATATTCCAAGTAAGTAACACCAGGTCTTTAGTGCTAGGGAGCTGTATACAAGGAACAGGCTTAGGGTTTCTGTTGCTGAAGAAAGCAAACAGAGAGGAATACTTGCCCTCCTCATGTTATCAGGGAGAGATGGTCCTTTTGCAAAGTTAATGCAAGTAGTTATAAATGAGCTATTGTTTTCTTGTTTGTTTAATAAAATAAAAAAAAGTTTTAGTGAAAATAAATACAAGAAGCCAAGTGAGAAGGAAGCTCAGAAAATAATAATTCTAACTTAAAAGGCTGAAAACAAGCTGACAACATTGCCCCATATGGTATCAAACAAACCACAATGTATTATAACAACATAATCAAGGGACTTCCTGTATTTAGCATAAGGTTAATTGACAGCTGGTGTTAATGATGTTGAGAAAAAGACTGGTAAAATGAGAGACTTCTTTACATGATATTCTCCCACCTCCACAGAACAGCCCCTATGACTGCCCCATGGCATGTGGTGTTGACTACATGGAGTATAATTTAAAATATCAGAACGCATCTCCTGGGGTTCTTTCCCACTAACTAGTTACTGAGCTATCACATGACTAGTGGCTTTCGCATGATACCACACGTGGCGCTCGTGGCCACAGAACACGATGGAGTCTGGCCTGCAGCAGCAAGAACTGAAAACACATCAAGAAATCCATCTTGTATTTTTAGCTACTAAAAACAAAGACACATTGTGCAAAGTACACTATAAACATCGTTCCTGAATCAAAAAGCTCCCTGTCTGTGATATCTGACTATCTCAACATGACAGACCTTTGGGCTACGTAAGCAGAATACAGTGGCACCAGGCTAAAGCTGCGTAAAGAGAGAGATACTGTGATTAAAATGATTACAGCCATCAAGCTGTCTTGCAAAACAGCAAGATGTTGATGGCTGATGGAGAGAGGAGCTGAAACATGCTACTGAGAAATATGAGAGACGAGATGCAAATTAGGGTATTATAGGTATTTTCGATTTTTCTTCCCCCTCCTTAATCTTAAAATGTTCTTCTGATCAACCCATTCTATTCCCTCTCTGGGCTAGAGGACAAAGTGAGGTAATCAAAGGTAGGGGTTTTTGATGGTAAACATTCCAAATGATAAACCTTAATTAATATATGAGAAACGGAAGGGTGTAGGACTGATATTAGAAGAAAATGGTCTCTAAAAATAGACTGCATAGGATAAGAGTCAGTTGTCAATGTTCTTAAAATTTTATCATTTGCATTTTTAAAATGTTCTAACAGCACACTATGCTTTGCCATAATTCCAAATTTTTCTCATGCTGCATGAAGTTGCATGTGGGTAATTGTACAACTGATGCAAACATGGATTTTGCCTTGTTTTAGTATCATACTAAAGAATGCTATCTACATCTCTGTACAAACAACATTGTACCTTTCAATGTTAGGAAAGGATTACGTATAAGACCGAAATCCGTTTTATAATACTCTCACAAACATTTAAACTATACATTTACCCCAACCAAGATATAAGAAGTTAAGCAACAACCTTTAACAAGAAAGAAATATGGATTTACTTTTTGTTTGAAGAAGAGTGTCCAGAAGGAGTGGAAGCTTGTTCAAGATCTTGAGTAACAAGGCATGTAGGAAAGGAGCAGCCATCCCCTAGGCTGTAAAAAGAAAACAAGATTAAGGAACATTTTACTTTGAAAAACATGTTTTAAAAAATCAATTTTCAGTGTAAATATTAGCTTCAGATACTGTTTAGCATCATGGGAACAATTCTCACATAACAGAATATCTACCTAGAAAAAACTGGCAACAACCAATATTTTTTCTCATCTCCAAAGACTTGTCTTAGATTTTTGCTGAAGCCCAAGCTAAATCCATTCTTATCTGTTCCATGCCGGAAAATAGGTGCTCTGAACGCCTCTAGAAAAACAAACACATGTTTAGATTTCCTAACATGTTCAAACAGAAATGTGTGTGTCAGGGGACAGGATAGATTATAAGCCTAACTAAACAAAATTACTTACCTAGTGTTGATTTATTTTTGCTGACTAGCCAACAGTGATATCCAAAAAGAGAGGATAAGCTGATAGAGAACATGGCTGCGGCAAAGAATAAAAACATGATATGGAACTTGGCTTGAGTATCTGAAAGGCCATTCTATAAAGAAGGGAAGAAAACAGAGTTGTTGAAATGGAGAACACAATTACTACTTTAGCTGTATAAACACAGCTGTTATTGTTGTTGTTGTTATTATTATTATTATTTTATTATTATTATTAAAAAGGGTTGACTCAACTTGACAACGTGATATTATCAAGTCTCAAAAACCGATTAAGGTAACTGGCACTTGGTATACTTTATGCTGGAAATTTAAAGATACCAGAACACATAGTTTCTGGTGAAGTAATTGTAAAACTGAAAATGCTGTCATCAGTAATGTTCTTGTTAATGTCCACAAAACCTAAATAGGTAAGTAGCTGCAATGAGTAGCGTCCTCTTTGTAATTACAAATAATCTTTTTTAGATGTGGCCAGTTCTCTAAGTGGCACCACCTAAAGACCCACCTAGTGTTAAAAGCTGAAGTTGTATAAAATACCCCAAACATTGTTCACGGTTATTGGTAGACAATACAAGGTGACTTTAAGTTCAAGTGCCAGTCTTTCAAAATGTTACAAGAATACTTGTTTTTTTGCCTCTTGATACAATAGCCATGAAACTCAAGAAAATCGAAACAGTTTAATTGGTTTGGATAGTATGCTATGCCTCCACAGTAGGACAGAACTTTATTTACTAGGACACTTCTGCCCCATTTTTCTCCCCAGTGAAGACTGATCTTTCCACTTCTAGCCTGCAACTTATTATATTGGGGGGAAGGACCACAGGAACAACATAGAGGACTCTGCAGTGGTTGGGGGGGGGATCAACAAGAATCTTTGCCCTTTTGTTTCTTCCACTGGCCTGCAGTTAGCAGAAGGCACAGTTAAGACCCAAATCATGGTCTAGAAACTGTTTATTTAACAACATCAACTGTATCAGTCAACAAATTTACATTTACAAATCTAAACATCTTAAACCAAGAATAGCTTTAAGACTTACTGTCCAGAATTTAATAAAATACTGTAAATCAGTTGCAGCAATGAAAAGGCAGTATAACAGAGAATACGCCAAGAAAAGGAGGAAAAACTTGTAATTGGAGAATCCAACGCAGTTGTTCACCCTGGGGGGGAAACGATACATCATCACTGAAAATAAACACATATATAATCACTGGTTTCTTCTCATCTTGAGCCTTCACTTGTGAATCCAAGCCTTTACATCCCAGCTTAAACAACAAGGCTTGGATTCAAGCACAGCGTTTCTGTGGGCAGAAGGATTTCTGCCCACAGCATGACTTTCTCACCAACCCCCCCCCCTCCACCATAGTTAAAAATGCCCTCTTAAAAGCTGCTCCAGAGCTGGATCCAACCCAGTGAAATGCCTCTGCTGAACGAACTACTGGGTCCATAAATCTACTTATAATACCCTCTATAGTCATCACTGGATTTTTAAGTAGTGACACAGCGCTTGGTACCTTCAGGTGCTTTTTGTCAGCACTTTTGTCCTAGGAACACACAGTTATTACAGTGGACCCCAAGAAAGTTCACTTGTATTTGTTCAGCAACTGAATTCTTTTAAAAAAATCTTCCTCCTCCAACAGCCAGAGTAGATAATTCTACCCTCCTCTCCCTAACATTCTGTGGACTTTTTATTTACTTATTTTAGTTCTAGACTGTGTGCTCCTTTTCTCCAACAAAGGTATATACATCTATGTTATTATTTTTTTTAAAGGAAAAGGCAGCAACCACACTCTGCCATAACTGCAAAAGGGGTACTGCCCCTTCAATTGTATAAAGACACTCTGTTACTAGTAGTAAATCTGAGCTAATGATACTTCTTTCACACTAAAGGCAAACACACTAAGAGCAAAACGATCCTCATCATCTCAGGGAAGGCATTTTATTTCCCAGCATATTATCTAGTCTAAACAGTGGAAGTAATATGTTTACTCACCAAGGGCAATGATGGTCCATTTTCAAAATACATCTTAAAAAGACAAATGACAAGTTACTATAAGGCAAAACCGAATTATTATTATCTGTGTCATGATTCATGGTATTTACACAGAAATACAAAGGCCTTGCTTGACTGGATAAAATGCTCACTGCACCATCGTTCATATCTATAATTTGTTGTGTAGAACTTACAGTGAAAAGGTGGATGTTCTTCAGGGCCGGAACAGAACAGTTATGCTACATTTAACTGTACCGACATGCATGAAGTCTTATTGGGAGCAGCTTCTCAGACCACTGTCCTCACCTATGGTAGACTCTGAAACTATTCACTTCCCGGTAGGTTTGCTGAACTGAGTAAGACTAATTGCAAGTCGTTTCAGAATTTCAAGAACGGGTAACGGCAGCCAAGGATCCAAATCAGAATATCACAAAGAGTTTTTAAATGAATCCTCCTGTTAGTGCTGATTTTGATGTGACTCATGTCTATTTAAGAAGAGAAGAAGAGATTGGATTTATACCCCGCCCTTCACTACCCAAAGGTGTCTCAGAGCGGCTTACAAACTCCTTTCCCTTCCCCTCCCCACAACAGAAACCCTGTGAGGTAGGTGGGGCTGAGAGAGCTCTTGGCAGAAACTGCTCTTTTTCAAGGACAGCTGTGCCAGAGCTTGCGACTGACCCAAGGCCACATCAGCAGGTGCAAGTGGAGGAGTGGGGAATCAAACCCGGTTCTCCCAGATTAGAGTCCGCACACTTAACCACTACACCAAACTTCATTGCCTTTCTTCCCACTGGGGGATCAAAGCGGCTTATATCATTCTCCTCTCCTCCATTTTATCTTTGTAACAGCCCAGTCAGACAGAGTAAACTGAGAGTGTGTGACTGGCCCAAGGTCACCCAGCAAGCTTCCATGGAAGAGTAAGGAACTGGACCTGGGTTTCCCAGATCCTAGTCTGACTCTCTAGCCACTATACCACACTGGCTCTTCATTGCCCCACTCTCTGTATCTTCCCATGCAGTGAGAACCAAGAGTTCATAAAATCATTAGGCGTGCACAGATCTCATATGATGCGAGACTGGCAAGATCCCTGCTTCAAGCACAATGGCCGAATAAAAAATTCAATGCAAATCACTCGAATTTCTCATAAATGACACATTTCTGAGGAAGCCCTTACTACATAAACAATTTGTGTCAAAAAGGGATTTTACTTAAATGTTGAATTATGAGATTCTGAAAAATTGGGAAAACGGAAAGGAAGGAGCCCTATAGTGTCCTCAGTTTTAAATTTATTCTATGTATAGCATAAAGGTAATGTTGCTGGACTAGGTAGACCACTAGTCTGACTCAGCAGGGCTCTTATAATGTATGTCTGGGGGGGGGGGGGGATCTAGGGAACCCTGAAGTGAACAGAAAGTTGCATTGTCTTCTCACCCAAGCTACAGACCTGCAAACTGCCTTTCCTTCAATAAGTCATAAGACTTAAGTGTGCACATCTACCAAGCGTACCATACTGTGCAGCTCTAAGTTTCAAACAGAGGCTGATCACTACTAAACTACGCTAAATGCAATAATCCAAAATATGAAGGGCACAATTACGTGAGCAGTTACTCAGGCATAAGACCCGTTGAGTTCAATTGGTCTTACACATGTGTCAATTATGGCAGGATTTCACCTTAGGGAAATAGGTATTATTTTAGACGGAAAATAGTTCTGCATATATAGTAACTATGAAATTTCTTCAGTAGTCCATGGTGGTATTTTAGACATGTATTTTGCTCAGCCGAGAGTAACAATCTTCCAGTAACATTTTCAGGTATTTCAAAGTGAGACAGGAGTGGGACTCGCTATACAAATGGTCCCCACCCCTCACTTCAATCAATCCAAAAGTATACCATGAACAAATGGTACCATAAACTCCTGAAAGGTCCAGAAGAAATCAAGATTATACTACCCTTGTGCATCTCAAAGAATGGATCTTCAACTAGGGCAAACAAGTCCTGAAGTCAAACTGAGTCGATAATATATTGCCCCAGTATTGTTTTTATTAAACAGGAATATCTTCTCTAACTTGTATCTCTAAAATTACTGATTTCTTTATTTTACAGCTTTGTATCATGAAGAAAGACAGGCTAAATTTGTACATGTTAACAAATCTATAAAATAAATCAGGGGTCCCCAAACCTTTTTGAGGCTGTAAGCACCTCTGGAATTTTGAGAGGCGGTAGTGAGCATTACACCCAAATGGAGGCAGAGTCAAACCCAAAATGGCTGCTCCCAGAGGTGGAGCCAAACAGTATACTTCCCTCCTCACACCTCCTGGAAAGAAGGAGGAGAATCAATGGTGGCTTCTGCAGAGGGTGAGAATAGGTACCCTCCTGCACACGCTGCAGAGCAGAATGAGCAGTGCAAAAATGGGTGAGAATGGCATCTGTACACCCTGTCCCCACCTGACACTGCAGGTCAGCTGGGAAGACAAAAAAGACTAAAGGGGGAGAAGAATGCAGAGCTTAGCTCTACCCCCTCCCTGTACTGGCTGCCGGTAGAGGGTCCACATAGTCACTCTCTGTTCACAGCCAGCTCAAAGGAGAAAGCCTTGAGAGGCCTGTAGGTCACGCTCACACTGAGCATGTCACTGTGCAAGAGTTCTCTTTCAATGTCAGGGCATGTTGCTATCCATTGGGGAAAGTAAATAAAGTTCTGTCCTACTGTGGAAGCAGCAGATTTTCCATGAAAACATAAGAACATAACAACATAAGAGACGAGGTAAGTAACTAGTAGGCATCATGGTGCCCATGGGCACCATATTGAGAAATTCACTGTTAACATTAATAAAGTTTTTATTTATGGTACTTTTTAATTTTTTATTTTGAAACACGCAAGAAATAGGAAACAAATTTAAATTAACAACATTTCCCCAACAATTATGCCCACCAGATGTTCAATATGCCTTCTTTCTGCACTCCTTATCTATCGCCCTCTTAAGCATTTGAAGGTCTCCAGCTTGAGATTGCCTTAGCTGGATCAGGTAAGTAGATTTAGTTCAAAAGTATATTAAGATAATGGGGATTTTTAGGTAATATCCCCTTTTCAGAGAAATATTGTATTATGGGGTACCACAATTTCGTAAATCTTTCACAATTCTTAGGTAAAGGTTTCCCTTGCTCGAAATCCAGTCGAATCTGACTCTAGGGATGCGATTCTCATCTCCGTTTCCAAGCCGAAGAGCTAGCGCTGTTCGAAGACGTTTCCGTGGTCATGTGACCGGCATGACTAGACGCTGAGGCGCACGGAACGCTGTTACCTTCCCACCGAAGCGGTACCTGTTTATCTACTTGCAATTTCTTGCTTTCGAACTGCTAGGGTGGCAGGAGCTGGGGCCAGAGACGGGAGCTCACTCTGTCATGCAGCACTCGGGTCTTGAACTGCTGAACTTCCAGCCTGCAGTTCAGCGTCTTAACCACTTGAGCCACCGCAGCCCCATTCTTACTGCAGCACAATTCTTACATTAATATTAATAAAGTTTTTACTTATGGTACTTCATGGGTAAATACTGTCAGTTTATTACTAAAGATTGTTGTACCAAAATTTAGGTGGTCAGCATGGGTCAAAATAATCAGAGCCTGGGTATTTGTGCCACCTCTGTGAACTGGCTCAAGATGTTATTGTCTATGCAACAGGATGAATGGTGCTCGCATAGTGGCAGTATACACCACAAAATGCATGCTACCATTAATGTCAGGGTAACTGCATTATGCATGGTAGTCACTAATTTCCACATACTATAGGAAGACAAACTTGCCCTTTGTCTTCCTCAGGACAACGATATGCTGCAAAAACTGCATATATGAAGATCGGGGTGCAGGACATATCACATGAAATTTTTTTAAAAATCATTACACTAAGCCTCCAAAATGCTACTAAGGACTTTTAATAACTATAATTTAGGATTAGCATGGCTATCCCAATATAATTTTAGATTGCATTGGAGTATTGGTTAGCCCTCTTCTGGCAAATACAAAAATATATCACAACACCACTACTGACAAGTGTTTACCTCCAGACAATGTTCTTGTATAGATGGGGAGGTCCTTGGCTGCTCTCTTCAACACGTCTTGATGGGTTTCACCTCTAGGTTCTCTCTCCAACAATTCTTTGTCTGCATAGGTCAGGTGGAACTGGGGGGAAAATGTAATTGCTAATTATTAGCAAATCAATAGGTAACATTTTCACACATCCTAAAAAGCAGAGTTAATTATATGGCAGATTATGTGAACAGTAATAATTAGACATAATTAGAAATAATGACGGATTACTCCATACAGTTTTCTAGTTAGATGTTACCGTATTCATTTTGTTAAGTATGTATTCTGGGAATACAGTTGTGGTTGCCACTGAGAGGGCATTCACTTCTTAAAGCTACAGATGGCTGATTCTTTTATATTGGGTTTTGTTTTTTTAAATCCCCCCAATGTATTTTTAAGATATTTTTGCCAATCTGAGCCTTTTTCAGGGTTGTAGAACGATCTGTCTTGTCTTTTCAGGGCTCCAGTCTCTGAATGTTGGTAGCCATAGATTTTGATATGCTGATGATGATGATGATGATGATGATGATGATGATGATGATAATAATAATAATAATAATAATAATAATAATAAATAAAGTACCCTA